TGTACCAATATCGACATTCGTTCAGCAGTTTAGGCTACAACTCTAACCAACATCCGAATGGATAGTTATTCATCTAAATTTTTGCATTTGTAATATTAGTAAAATTGATTACAATCGCATATATATGCTAGGTAGAGAAAAATTATAAATGTTAAGTTTTTCAAAATTGTTTACAGGGAAAACACCATTTATTTTCCTCTCTCCGATGCTGCAAAAAGGTATACTTGTTTTGTTTTTATGGATGTGAAATATTAGTCGAGTCCTTTTTGTTTTCAATGTTAGAAAAGTATTTATTATTTAACAGGCAACCCTGTTAGAAAGGACAGCGGACAGCGACGCGAAGAAGGGAACGTACATCCAATATAAGAAGAGAACAAAATAGGTTTATGTCGGATACTTTGACCATTCGTCCGTAAAGTAACTTCGCTGTAGAAGTGACGCTCCCAGGGCCGTTATATTACACATGATATATTCATCTGTAAACTCATTTACAAGTATATAAGTACTTATACTATTCTTATATGTCCATATAACTGTATTTAGTTACTACTTTTGAATGAAGTAGCTTTTACAGTTATATACGAGTACTAAGAAATAGTTGATACGAAAAATAAAATAAAGAATTTAGTGGCACTTTTGCACAAGATAAAAGTCAACGTCTTCATATTTGTTGTTCAAAGTAGTACTATTCAGATTATATGAAATGTGCTTGTATTAATAGCAAGAGCCGCGCTTGTCCTATTTCTAGATGTTACTCCATCAAGTATTGAAGACCTCACTTACTCGACAGTCAGACAGGCAGACATCTGGGCTTAGTGCTGCTGTAGGTTGATAATATTAGCTAATGCACCGGACACACGTCACTCCCTCAGGACCTCACCGCACGTCACCGAATATCAAGATTATTCATGTTATAACTAAGTTAAGACGCACTTACGTTCAATGGAATATTCCCATAACTCTTCAAGGACACAGACAGCGTTTAACACGCAACAACTTTTTAACAACTTGTTAAAAGCAAAACCTGTATTTTTTAAAAAATGCCTTTAACATTTACTATTAAATTAATCAAATTAGACATTACCCGGATTTTGTTTTAAATTAACCTAGCTTCAATGAAAATTTTACTATGTTACTTCTTTAATTAAAAAAAAATAACATAAAGATAGTAATATTTTTTCAACACGAAACGAACCAGGCACAAATTCCGGGCAAGTAATCAAGTGAGGCTACACCGATGTTTCTAAAGCAGAAATGAAGCCGACGTCACCGCCGCTTCGCCGCCGCTGTGCCGCCGCTGCACCGCTTAATCAGGGCCGGACCGCCCGCCCTATATTTGCGTATGCAAAGAGACTCCGGCCGCATTAACTATGCCATATAGCCAACGTAGCGTGCACCGATTGGGCAAACACATATCTGCATTATAAACAGCGTCCGGGCGCACAAACGCGCAATGTGGTCGGCCTTTACCGGCGGCCGGCGCTCGGCACACGGCGCCGGCTAATCAACGAGCTGACCTTCCGCAGCCGAACAAACGCCGCGCCCGCCTCACGACCACGCTCCATGCAAAATACACGTAAATGTACTTCGTTAGTGCAGCTGCTAATTAGCAAATCGGAACTCGGATGCGACACGTTTACACTGATCACACGATGACGAATCCATTTTGCATTCCACTTATTTGCATACGTTTGTTTACAGGTCAACAGGAAAATAGAATACAAAATCTCTTGCATTCCTGACAATTATTACGACTATAATACTCTCTAGTGCTGACCTCTATAGATAAGTCAATACGTATAAAGCATGAAGTGCAATCAATAGGAAGAGGGTAGGTTCAGCAAAATGTGCAACGGTATTTTAAGAAGAATGTGTTAATTACGTTTGAGTGATCAAAACGTCGTTGCATGCAGTAGCTGTTATACTCTTATGCATCTTTGGCATGTGACACCATCTCCACGGTGATCTCGGTATGAATATTGACAATGGAAAACTTAACCCTGATATGTAATAAAGCGGAAAATGTAATGATTAATGATTCATTTTAAGTGTATGATTGCATGCATGTGCACTGAATCGACTGCTACTTTCCACTTTCCACATGCGCTCGGCACCGCACCGCACCGCGCCCACTTAACGGAAAATCTCAACATATTTGTTCAACTTCTATCCATTAGAGCGAAGAAAGAAAGCATTTCGAGTATTTATATTTGAAAAAGAAAAAGTTATTGCAATACATTTCAAATTAAATAGAAGAATTTATTCAACACAAAAGTTATGCGGACTGACAAAAGATGAATTTTATTCAACGAATAATTATTTGACCTCTTATTTCAATCTATTCGTTTTCTTCAAATGTTATCCATAAAAATAGATCGTAAACCACAATAACGTATTTCGCTATAAATGCCTATGACTAGCATTTAATTATAACAGTAACGAAAATGAAATTGATATCATTTGCTTTCTATATCTCCTCGCAGTTTACTAGTCTACCAACACGCTCTTTTTTTTCATTTCTGATAAATTAAACAAAAGTATAATAAATTAGCTTTTATTGTATCTTACAACATTTCAGTAAATTATTTTACATTCAATTATACCTAATACAATTGTCATAATGTCACAATACAATAAATTATAATAAATTATTCACTGACATATGTTCGACTGTTCTTAGTTTGTCACTATAGTGTCAATGCTTTGGCTTGAGGTTTTCATATGAATGGGTCCATGAGAACCACGTATGGTGCGGTTCAGAAAGTATTTGAAGACTTGCTTTTAGGCGCTAGGCGCTGGTTGTTCTCCCTTGTATAGGTAAGGGTCCAGCGCGCCCTCTTTGACCGGCCGCACCACGTACAGGTTCCGCCTTCAATTTAAAGACTAAAATCAAGATTTAGTATTTATGTTAGACAAGCAAAAGCATTCCATTTAAGCTGTTTTTTATTTAGATTTTAATTTATGCCAATATGATAGGCATTTTACCTATGGTGTCCATCGGCGTGGACTTGGAACGTCGTTTCACCAGTGGGCCCTTCCTGGCTGAACAGTTTCCTGAGGGCAATGATACCGGCGATCGTTAAGGCGACCTTGCTAGCGATGAGCGCCTTGCCGGCAATGACAGCTAAGGTCTTGAGAGCCATACCTCCCACGATGCTAACAGTGGTCAAAACACCGAGCATCATATATGGCAGGACCTTCTTTCCTGTACATTAAAAAAAATCAATCAATAATAACATTTTATAAATTATATCATGATTAGCCCTTTAAATTACACGCACGCACCTCTTCCTCTACCTTCCGTTGACAAGTCGAGTGACACAGAATGAGTGTTCAATAATTGTTCGAATTTTCTGCGCAACATGGTGTCGAGTTTTTCTTCTGCTGACATTCCAGGGAAGAATCGAGGCTCTGCCATCGCAGGAGGTGCATCGGACTGTTTCACCAATGTCAATCCATCGGCCAGTTGTACGTTCTCCTGCGACATATTAAAATATTTAGAATACACGATCACTAAGCACAAACCAGTTCGTTATCATTGCACTGCCGTCACCTGTTCCACTGCTCTCGTGAGTGCCGTTAAAGCTTTACCCTTCAAACAAGTGGTTAAATGTTTATGCGCACTGCAGTCGTCGTACACTTTTTGTAACATTGTAAATTCCGGCGACTGCCACCAAGAGCTTTCGTCGGCTCTACCACTGTCCACTTCATTATGGACGTAATCTTCTGCGTCCATTCTGCGTGACCTTCTCGGTCCATGGACGCGACCGGCGACGACCACCGCACAGATAAGCGAAACCAGAGCTATCCGAAATGTGAAACTCATTTTTATTTTTAACGCGCACAACACTAAAAATATGAAAAAATACGTTTATGAGGGTAGCTCAGCGACAACTGTCCGGCGGAGAGGCGGCAGCGAGTTTATAACGGGCACGCACCTAACCGCCAAGCACCACCGAACATCCGCCATTCCGCGCCGATTCTCCTGCACGCGCACTTATGTAACTGAACTTGAAAATGATTAAGAATCATTTTCCAAGCCAATTTCACCGATAAAATGCCCGACAAAAAGTAAGTCGTATGCATTACCAATTGCACTTGTGTATTTACTTCTATAAGTGTGTGTGATAAAATGAAATTACGGATGAGTTGCGTGTGTAGTGCGGACTGTTCGGGCTTACGTTTCACTCACGGACGACCGGTTGCGGACTCGCGATTTTGACGGATTGTATCAATGTAATTTCAGACTTTAATGACGTGATCGCAGAGTTCGAGGACTGCTTAAATTTGGCCTCAATCAAGTGCTGGCCGATTCCGCCGTTACGGATATCTGTTGGCCAACACCAGGAATGTAGCTGCATCATTCACTTAAAGAAAGTAAGAGTTGCAACGAAGTGCATCCATGAACACGCAACAATTAACAACATATTTTTATGGTTAAACAATGTAACAAATGTGTTTTTTATTTTAACAGGGTATTATGAGAACAACAGGGTCTTATGTTAACAAAAAAAATTATTCAGTCATTTTTAATTCCTGTTTATTCTAAACTTCACTCTGCTTTAGATTAGAAACATTACTTTTTCCTAAGCAACTTCTCAACATCCTATCCTATGTACTTGATAATGACCTAAATTCAAATTCTAAGTTACCATGGATGGCTCGTACCTCACCTTTAATGTAGCTTACATGTTTAAATATTTTTCATACAGTTTGTAAAAGTATGCCTTTGGCGTTGATTGAATACAGTGCCATCTTATGACGAACTAAGGCATTACTTAGAATCTGAAGAAAATGGCAACGTATGTAATGGAAGCAATGTCAACCAATGTCAGCCCTTGATTTACAGTAGAAGATAAAGTGTACTGAAAATATTTCTATGTTCCATTAATAAGCAAAACATTTTTAATAAGTACATATAGAATTTTTTTTTCTATTAAAAAATGTTGACTTTCGGAAGTTGGTAAAGTTACCTTGGTAACTAAAAAATAAACGTCAACGGCAAACGTCATCGTCAGTTGCCAAATGTCGCTTTGTTTACAATGTGAGATTTGTAAAGTCAATTTGTGTAATTATATTTTCATTTATTTCGTAAAGGTGCGTTTCACCTAAAGGTGTTTTTTTACTTTTAAATTATCCGATATTTGTAATACTAGGATGGTACATGAAGGAAACCTTGCATACCATGGCGAGGACCCAGGAGCTGTACAATATGGGAATTTCATCAACTATTACTCCTTTCACAATTCAAGTCAAAGAATACAGGGTCTTCATGCCTCCATGTTTCCTGAGCTTGCCGCTAACGAAGATATTATATGTTTGGACATTGGTTGTAATACTGGAGAACTAACAAAAGGAGTTTACGATTATTTAAAAAATAACATTTACCCAAAATCTTCAATTCGCATCTTAGCTGTCGACATTGACCCAATTCTGATACAAAGAGCTAAAGACAATATAACCATTAGTGATATTACGTTTATAAATTCAAACATAATGAAATATGATGATCTGGACATTATTGGTCAATACTTAAAGTCTTACAATAGACAAACGTTTGATATAGTGTTTTGCTTCTCTGTAACAATGTGGCTTCATCTCAACAGTGGTGATGAAGATTTTCTCACTTTTTTAAAATCAATAAAAGATTATACAAACACATTAATAATAGAACCACAACCATGGAAATGTTATCGGAATGCTCAAAGACGAATGAAGAAGTCTGGCTGTAATTTTCCACTTTATGAGACATTGAAAATAAGAAGTAATGTTGAATTAGTTATTGAAGATACATTAATAAAAAATGGTTTAATTAAAACATATGAGTCTCCCCCGTCTAACTGGAATCGGAAAATACAAAGTTTTCATTCAGTTCTAAAATAAAAAAATTAAGACTTGTAATTAATTTTTATTATTTTAATAGTGTTTTACAAAATACACTTTATGTTATACTACTACTTCTTCCACATTCAACCCATGTTCTACTTTAATATCCCTATTTAAAGCTTTAGAGTCCTCTGAATCTTGCGTTTTCAACATATTAAGTACCTGCAAAGTTCCACAGTAATAGTCAACAAAATCATAAAACAAAAACGAAAGTAAAATAGCTACATTAATGGAAGCTAGAGAAAAGTTTTCCAAGAAACATGTTGATAATTTTCTTTATTTTATTCTAATTACCTGCCCAGATGTAGTGCTGGTTAGGACTCTTTCTTCTGTTGCTTTTCTCTTCACTGGTGTTTTTGTCTGAGGACAAACACTATAAAATAAACAACAAATATGTTAATATCTAGTTTCTATCACAATATTTGTATTGTATGATACTTATAATGTAACTTGTTACACTTGCCTTGGCAATGATTCTGCTAAAGGATGCAGTAACATAGCCATATCAGCTAACTTATTAAATGCAGCACCTGCTTCTGTAAATATTTGTCCAACCTAAAAGAAATTTATAATATAACATGCAGTTTAATTCAAATCTTATTAACTGACAATTGAAATGGGCAAGTCCGTTTTAAGAAAAACCAAAAAAAAAGAATTTTATGAGTGAAGATTATTGATTACACAGGTTTAGTATTATTGACATATATTGTTAAGGAAGTGCAATATGTAATTAAAGTACACACGAACTACCTTTGCTGCAGAATTATCCATTATACTTGTAGTATATCGTTATTTTATAAAACAACTAGTAAGTTATTACACTGCTAAATAAAATGACATGTTATTGTTTTTAATTTTCAATTTTTCGTTTGTGTGTCAGTGTCAGTTCAGTCAAAAGTCAAATCCAAACGTAAAATTCTAAAGCAAAGAGTTGTGCATGTTACCCATATTGATTAATGTTAACGACCAGAACATCAGCTCATGGTTCGTTTGAGCAAGGCAGATCAGTGAATCGGCAGGCAAATTAGCTCAATTTGTACTTGAGATAGAGGTATGATTTGCACGAGTTGCAAATTTCCGGGCAATTTTTAATTCATTATCTTGTCATCAGCTTTAAGCTGCTAATCAGTAGTTGAGCCGCAGCTCAACGATCTAAGCCTTTGAGAACTGATTCGGCACATATCTATCGCCTATAGACAAGCAATTTTGTTAGAAGCCTTTATGGCCGAGTTTACCTTTAAGCCAAACAGACAAATTATTTCAAACAATATAAAATGACTCACTATTTTGACATTATTTTTATAGATGGCAAAGAGACGAAGAAAAGTATAAACGCATGGAAATAATTTCATGTAACTTGATATCTTTAAGTAAAACCAAAACCGTTTGTATTACATTGGCAACATTTCGTTTACAAATGTCATGCTCGATTTTGTAAATGGCGACCCTAAATAAACTAACCTAAAATCTTTTCATTATAAATAAAAATTATAGATTTATAATTGACATTCTCTAGAGATTGTGATAATAAACTTTTCTGTATGTCTTCAATTTTGTGAAAAAGAAAAGAAGTTAAGTTTTGTTCAAAGTACAGATCAGTGACATTTTAACATTGTTTAAAATATCAAGTTAGTAATGTATCAAAATAATCCTAGATTTAGACATTGGTCACCTCAGTTTAGACCACGGGGACAGTTTTTACGACGTAATTATACAACAAATCACTATAGATATTCAGGGCCACAAGCACAAAATAACTATGAATTCTGGTGTGAAACTTGTGACAAAGGATTTCACACATTACAAATTTTAGAGAATCATAAATTACAACATCAAGTGAGTATTTTAAATACATAATACAAACATAAGATAGTACATAATTACTAGAGTAAATTTAAAGACAATTCTGCAAATGATTTAAGTTTTTAAGTTTTTTTTAACAAAGACCTTAATCTCCGATCAATAATTAATATAATTTTCAGAAATGTAACATAGATGGTTGTCAATTTGTGGCCCATCCTAAAATCATAACAAAGCACATCCAAATGCAACACTCTACAGGGTTATATAAAAAAATTGCAAAGTTAAACAATCCAGAGGAAATCCGAAAATGGAGAGAAGAAAGGAAACTAAAGTATCCAACAAAGAAAAACATAGAAAAGAAAGCAGCAGAAGTAAAAGAAAAGGTAGAAAGAGGTGAAAAAATGGGAATGAATAATCAGAAGTTCAATAAACACATCAGACCAGGTATATAATTTAAACAACTTGAGATTACTTAAGATACTTGTTTTAAAAATTTTCATCTAAAATATGTTTTCAGAATTACATTCAAGAAAACAACATAACTTCAGTAGGGATAAATTTCAAGGCAGACATAAAAACTACAAGTTTAAAAGTGAAAGTCCCTCAATCCACAAGAAACCTCAGAAAAAGGTTTGTAAGGTAATACCTCAACCAAATGTTACACAAACACTTAATCCTTTTGCTGGAATACAAAACATTATTATTGATGACAATCAAGATGAAGAAATTGATGAATCACTTCAAAATTCTTTAATTGAAGATGATGATATTTACCCTGAAGAGGGAACAAATAATGTGAATGATAAATTACAAATAGAACCTACTGTATGTGGAGCTTTATCAAGTCTAATGAATGAATATGGGTCTTCAGATGAAGGTACTGTTGTAAATAACACCAGCAATAGTTCTTCAAAGCAGGCCCAGTTGACTAAGAAAGAAATAAAAAAACAAACTGTAGACAAGAAACTCCCTATGGCTGTAGATGTAAATAAAAGTGATGATGACAGTGGACCTGAGGAAGCAATTATTACTAAATCCACAACTGATGTTGAGCAAAATGGTGGCAAAAATTTGAGACCGAAATTTGAAAAAAGGCCCAGAAGTCCACCAATTGCGAGAAATTTTAAAAAACCAAAATATCAGCTGCCTTCCACTTTGCTTGTTAAACTGTTAAGTAGAGAAATAGAACAAGAACGCAACATAATACTTCAATGTGTGCGACATATTGTAAAAAATAAGTATTTTGACGATACCTCTACCAAAGATTGAATTGTAAATTTATTTGTAATTTTTGTAAAACAACTTAGATCTGGTCACAATCAAAATGTTGACACTAAGCAGTCTTTAATTTACCTGTTTAACACCCTTTCATTTTCCGCATAAGCAATCCTGTATATATTAGGCTATAAAATTTCTTGTGTTCAATGCTAGGAATTGAAGATTTTTGCAATGTGTGGAGATCCAAAATTAAACTATATTCATTTTGGTATGCAATACAAAAGGATTAAATCATGTATTTGTTCATCTTAGTAATATTATGAATGGCGTAAGTTTGTACTTGGTATCTAAACGGCTAAACGGATTCGATGGTATAGATGTAGAGTAGTCTAAGGAACATATAGGCGGTTATTTAACTTTTATTTTTTGACACTTCCCAAAAGGTACTCAATTTGTCTCTATATTTTTAATCCAATGCAGACATAAGCTAGTAATAATATTAAAATATTAGGTCTTGTCACCACTTACTAGTAAATTAATTCTTCAAATGTGCTTAGAATCTCAGTTACATTGTACAATCCTGCATGGATTATGATGAGGAAGGACACATAGAAAAAAAACAGTATTTTTAATATATCATTTATTCTTAAAGAATATTTAAGACTGCGGTGCAGCTGTGGTGGTGGTGGCAGCAGCCTCCTCGCGGATGCGGTCTTTCTTGAGGGTGCCCATGAAGGCAGCCTTGTCAGCAGGTGTTTGGAAGCGACCATGTCCAAATTTGGACGAAGTATCAATGAACTTAAGGTTGATCTTCTCAAGAGCAGCCCTCTTGGTGTGCACACGAAGTGACTGAAAACAAAATTCATGTTTAGTACAAAAATAATAAACATAGAAATAGTAACTGCTTATTTTAAGATTTTTCAAATTTGAATGAAATGATTTTTCTGTTTATTGCTCACCTTTCTCAAAGTAATTACTCGCTTCTTGGGACCCATGCAACAGCCCTTGATCATGACAAAGTCATTATTGACTTCACCATAATGAGGGAACCCACCCATGGGGGTAATGGATTTCTCAGAAAGGTCATACTCAGTAGAGGCATTGTTTTTGATGACTTTCCCATCCTTGGTGTGGATTCCTGAAATTGAAAATAATTTGATTGTAATATGAATTTATTGAGGAAAAGGCAAGGCTCAAAAAAGGAGGTATCAAATTATGAAATATTTGTTATTAGTTATTCATAGAAACAAACCTTGTCCAATTCTGTAGATTTTCTTATTCATTTCAGTTCGGTGGTGGTAGCCCTTCTGACCAGCTCTGGCGACGGTGAATGAAACTCTGGAAGGATGCCATGCTCCAATACAAGCTACTTTACGCAGACCCTTGTGTGTCTTACGCGGGAGCTTCTTAGTGTGCCAACGAGAAGTGACACCTGGAAATTAAAAATTTAGCTAGTTTAAATTCATTAATGTTTAACCTATATATGTTAATTAAACAATAATTTCCAGCAATGAAATTTTTAAAAATAAAAATAGTTTTCACACAACTCCATAGGCACATAACTAAAAGATATAATCTAGATCTTTTGAAGCATTATAGAGTTACCTTATAACATCAATCAAATCTAATTAAAATAAGACTTGGAAGTAAGATTACCTTTGTATCCCTTGCCCTTTGTGACACCAATGCAATCAATCATTTCATCCTGAGTAAAGACTGAATCCACTGGGATTGGTTTCTCAAGGTGCTCTCGGGCCCATTTTACTTTGTCTTCAATAGTTCCACCATTTACTTGAATCTCCATAATGTGAGCCTTCTTCTGGCGTTGTTTCAACAGTTTCATTTGAGTGTGGGCAATAACCCTGATCACACTGCAGTAGCGGATCATTTTCTTGAAATCCTTTTCAATGGACTTCTGGCCAAGCTCATCTTGCCATTTCTTGCTGGCTTTGGTAAATGCCTTCTTCTTGCATTTATACCTATTTAATTTAAAATTTAACACTTTCTGCAATAAAAAGCTATGCAATCTCTTCAGTGAGCGGAGATAACATGGCCATTATATGCCAAAGGCATATTCAAAGGTAAAGCCCTCGTCACAGTGAGAGGAGAGCTGTTTATGTATATTAGTAATTGCAAGTATGTAAAAATCACAGGATCAAAACAAACACCTGTAATATATTTTTATACATACCAGTTCTTGTAGAAGCGACGTCTACAGTCTTCAGACATATGTTCTGCCCATACGGTAAGCAATGCGCGGAGGCCATGTGGTGTTTCAATGTAGCCGACCACGCCGACGCACACCATTGGTGGAGTCTCGATGATGGTGACAGCCTCCACGATTTCTTTCTTGTTGATCTCTTTAAACAATTTTAAATTAAATCAGTACTTATCTACGTTAGAAAAAATAACTTACACGTGCTAGATAAAAATTACTTACTTGATCCAGGACGGTCAGGTTCACGGACCACGTGGGTCATACCAGCCTTGTATCCGATGAAAGCGGTAAGATGCACAGGCTTATTCTGGTCATCTTTAGGGAAAGCCTTAACCTTACCACGGCTACGGCGGGACCTCTTCTTGGGATAGAATCCCATAGACCCATGGCGAGGCGCCGAAAATTTTCTATGCGACTGAAAATGCAAATTGTCTTTTTAATTCATAGCATAACTACGGATACTACCTTACACATTAAAATAACCATCAGTCCGCCCTAGAAAAATCTTCACATAAGATTCAGGTTCTAACCGTATTTATAAAACTAGTGGTATCATCATTTGAGTTTGTAAATCATTAAAATACAATACAATTCACATCGAAAACAACAAAACTAATCACTGTTACTTTGCACATTACCAAAATTAATTACGGATTATTTAGAAAACCAAGAATTTAAATCCAAGTTACCAACCATGTCGGTTCACCGTCGCAACAAAAATGGCCGAGTTTTGATGTCGTGTTGTGTCAGCCAGTCATAACTGGTCATAGGTAGGAGGGTTTTGCCATATATTTTTTTATTATTATATTCAATTTTAATTCTTGAGTAACGCGAAAAAATAGTTTTTGCTTTCTGAGTCAATTAAGATTTTATTTTACAATCAGCAAAAAGTTATTGAAACATATTTTAGTTCCTGCTATCATGCTTTGACATTGGGCAACATTTCTATTTGTCAAAGTCAAACATAAAAATATGTCAAATTGAAATGTCAGAACAGAAATAGATGTTTATTGTATCTTTTACATATTTATTATCATATTGCTTAACAAATACCAAGCCAGAAGTTTAGTTCTCTTAAAACACTGTTTTCTTTTATTTAGAAATGGCGGGACCAATGGAAAGAATCCAAGTTCTTGACGATATTGAAAAGGACATTATCACTTGCCTGCAATGTGCTGGTAGTTTTATTTGGTTTATTAGTTTTTATTCTCATTACATTTTTAGTGTATTCGTTTTGCTCTATGTACCTTTTTTTAAATTCTGTGAAACTTGATTTCGAGAGTCAAATTTCCTTGTATGGAAAGGGAATCAGTTATCACTCAGTAGCTTTTTTTCATTTTATTATTATTTTAGATCTTATACTTATATCTGTATTTGTTTCTACTCGGTAGTAAGAAGTGGTTTACAACTTAATTATTAACCCAATGTTTATTGTTATTTCAGCACAAGCACTTCTAGAATTGGGAAAAGAAAAATCGAGTCAGAAACAAGCTGAGACTAATACTTCACAATTCTTAAGAACTCTTAGCCAAGTTGAGTCCAAATTGAGTGACCAGATCAATTACTTGACACAAGTGTCTACGGGACAGCCTCATGAAGGCTCCGGATATGCATCTCAGAAAGTGTTGCAGATGGCTTGGCACAGACTAGAACATGTCCGCTCTTGGGTTAATGAATTAGATCGACTGAAAGCATCACATTTGGCTGCGGCCAATCGTCCAGCACCAGGAATACCTAATGGCAGTATGACTTCTTCTGGAACTAGTACATAAATGTTTATATCTTCATACCTGCACTAGGTTTTGAAAAAAATGTTCATGTAAGGTATTTGTAGTTAATTTATCTTATTATCTACAGCAACTGCTTGTATCTATGTTTAATAATAAATGTAAGGAAATTTGATTGGTTGTCTTTTATTTAACCTTAAAATATTCAGTTCTTTGAATTGTTTAGATAAATTTAGGTAAACTATGTGAATGTGTTATGACAAACAGCAAGACAATGACTGTTTATGTGCAAACAGTTGACAAAGCTTTAATATGAAGAAACCAGTTGTGTGTAGCAATGTTCTTAAAATACATGAGATTATGGAGCACAAACCACTTAACTTAATATCTACCATATTCTGAGTTGTTTTAGTTTAGATGCTTCAAACTGAATTCACACTAAGGGTCTCCCATGTAAGTATCAAAATCCAGTGTGCTAGCATATGAAATATTAGTGTTATAATGTAGAAAACAAAAACCTTTTGATAGAAATCTGCTATATTTTGTATATTTTTAAGAATAACCAAAAAACTTTATACATAAAGGAATTTTTTTACAAAAGTTACAGCCATTTAATACCATATCATCCTTAAAAAAAGCAATTGAACTAAGTTGATATTAAGTGAATAAGCAAAACACTAATTCCATGTCATGGTAACTTATCACAAACACTCTTAAGACATCACTTTCTTAAAACAAAAAGGTTACCAGTAATTATAATTTTCTTTCCACTAATCAAACTTCTACACACAAAGCTGCAAATGGAATCGATTTTACTAATTAAATATTACCTACTACTCAACACTAAATGGAAGTGAAAGAAAATAATTATTACCTATGACTCATCATAAAATTGGAACAAAGAAAACAATGATGTCCTTGGAAAAAATAAATAATGTAATATTTACGACATTTAAGGCAAACCCTTTGAATGGTATTCTGACTTAAACATTTATAAAGGTTGAAAAAGTTGATTAACAAACATTCTAACACATTTATATCTAACATTTACAAAACTACATGTAATAGCCATTTCATTTAGATACACACATTATCCTGAACAAGGTAGCTAGTAGTAAATGCATAATGATAATGTTGTGCAAATTAAATGACATTTTGAACTATCAATTATGAATTCACTCCTCTTTTCAGCTCCTTTGGTTTGCATTAGCATTCGTGAATTTCTCTATATCGTCCAATGATCGTTTTGCTTTTGAAGTTATATCGTCAAAAGACTTCTTTGTTTGAGAAAGCAGCTCATCTGTGCTTTTACAAGCAGATGTAGCTAATTCCTTTATTTCGTTATCAAATTTTCCTATAACCCATTCAATTGCTTGTCGACCTTTTCCAGCATTGAGGGATATCTTGTTTGTAAGTAAATCTTCCATGTAACTACTTAAAGGCACACCCTGAAATAAACAGAATAATTTTATTAATATTGTAGACAGTAAAAATCTTTATTGGCAAAAAGTTAAATTTTTAATATAATAAAGAATAGTATTTTTGTATGTAACGGTTAAAATTAAAAACAGCACCTAATTGAAAATTATTGATCAGGAAGCTACATAATCACCGACTAGAAAAAATATAGCCTATGTTACTCATTGATAACACAGCTTTCTAATGGTGAAAGAAATTTTGAAATTGGATCAGTTGTTATTATCAGTTATTGATGTGGTGTGCTTGGTGACAAAATTGCGGACAAAGCTAACATTCTATAAGTTTGACTCTGTGCTCTAAAACTTTTCCTTTGTCTAATAATTGAAATAAAATGTTTGTTAAAGATTGATCTTGAACTTCTATTCAGATAAGGCAAAGAAATTTAAAACAACAATGGAGATAAGATAATTAAAGACAAGCACTGTGACAAATGACCAGTCATTTAAAGGGCAAACACTTGGGACATACAAAATAATAAATAACTTACTTGTACAGTTACAACAGCTTCTTGTTTCAGCAAAGTTTTAGAAGTATCAGTGGGATGTGGTGTGTAGGTAACAGTTTCATCAACAGCTATATATCTGCAGAAAGTCAAGTTTGTTGTTTTCAGAGTCATTTGCCTCTCAATTGGATTGACCTCAGACTTTTCGCTGGCATAGCATATTTTTGCAGTTCCAATAAGCTGAAATAGACATAGTAAGATTTGAAATTTTAACATAATATGGAACTTCTATAGCATTATAAAATGCCGACTTTAAAATATTTTTGAAGATATGATAGAAGTTATGCTAGGTATCTATGTCTATATTAGGTTAAAGATTGAAATATGCTATTGCTATGTATGAATGAGATAAACTATTGTAATATTTATGAACAGCTATCTCTGTATCGTCTTGTTTTTACATTAAACAGTCCTTGAAAAATGTAGTACAAGATAACTGAGTATCTGTCTCGTTTATCTTACTTGGTGAAGAGCCAATATATTTTAGAGCAGAATACTTAAAAAGGTGTATTTTTACAACTATAGAATGATAATCATGTGGTTGTATGACAACTACAAATGATTTGATAAATTAGTGAACAATAAAAAAGTAATTAAAACGCTGCACTAATGCTAGCCATAACTTACTGCTTGAGCCCATCTCGGAAAAAACCATTTCGAACTGACAAGCCTGTGCGTATGCAATACTCCATCCACCACTTTTCTCTCAACCACATCGGTTCCTATAACTGCAGGATTCATAGGATTGGGATACTTCCGCCATGCTGCCTGAGCAACTGTTTCCCAAGGGTGACTAAAATTAAGATAATTTTTAAGTCTTTACAAAGAATTTCCACTTGTATTTACCACTACCTCCTTGTTGCGTCATTATACATACTTGAATGTGTGTTCTGAAGTCCAAATCTTCATATTTGTAGAATTCGTAAAATGTCCGTGAATTAAATATAAAACTAAGGAGTTAGAGGTTTTCTAAATTCATAATTACATTACGTTTACCCAACAACATTAACTCGTCTCCATCTGATAAAAGAGGAAAAGGCCCTCTCTCGACAGGACAGAGACAAGCGACTCATGGTGTTACCATAAATATATTTTAAAAATTCCAATTGACTTTAACCGATCATCGTAAAACTTGTTAAAACTACAATTAGAATGCTTTTAACGTGATTTTAACTTAATTTGTTTTCCATCATAAACGTTTTAAATTTCATTGTTACAAAATAGAAAAGACGGCATTTTAGTTACTATTTGTTCTAGAATAACATCGACGTAACTAATTATTTAACGATCATTACTCGCGTCTATTTTTCCGATAGCGGTGCCGACTACTTCCAGAACCATCAGGGGGTCCATCTTCAGGACGAGTGTTATTAGGGTTGTTTCGCGGTCGTGTTCCGCCTTGCATCAAACTAACATCATCATATTTATAAATACGCTACCCATAACACAGAATTGCAACGTGTGAAGCGATACGACTAGTTTTAAAATAAATCGCGTATCTAGTTTCAAAAAACACAGTACATAAGTAAATAATTTTAAAATGAATGCAAAAAAAAACAATCCTTTTGGATAGAAATATGATTTTTCATATTTCTATTAATTTAAGGAAGATTTGTAATCTGGCAACAAGTATACTTTAGTTTTGGCGCAGATTATTGAATGGAAAATTAGTAGTCAAAATGTTAACCAACCACATTATCCTCAATCACAATCGTTATCAGTAGATATCAGAAATTATCTGGTATATCCAAGAAAGGATACGTTGATTAACTATGTAGTTTTAGACAAAAATGTAAAAAATCAACACATATTATTGTATGGTAGCTTTATAATAACTAATTAACTTTATGGCGATTGTCGTTGTCGAATACGTAACCTTGGCTTTAACTTTTCGTTTATTCTTGTTCCGTAACACGTTAAACATAACAATACCTAAAAAAAGTAGAATGTTAGATGTAGTTACTTTCATCGAGTGCAGGTTGTATTAAAATTAAAATGTATACTGTTATGGACCTACATATGTATTGAGAGTTTAACAAACTCCAAGTTTGACATATGTATTGAGAAAATAAAAATTAAAACACACATCTCTCTGGTCTGAAATCTGCAAATACCTTGTTGAATAATAAAAATCACCTGAATTTGTATTTTACAAGTATTTTATCAGCAGTATGAACTCATGGATGGCTTCAGGCTACAGAGAGTACGAATAAGACATTAGATAAATTGTCGGGACAATAGAGCATTTTGAATAACGTAGGTTTTATTTACCCATTTTTAAATTTATCTGTACAAAAGGTAAAGTAACCAAAGTACCTACACGTATAAGGAAACAGGTAGAGTATTCAAGGTTCTTTAAAATTTAAATACTATTGACCAACTAAAATAAAGGTCATCAATCTACGGACTGATATTATCAAAGTATCTGTTAAAACCTTCGCAAACATATTACTTTGTAATTATCTTTCATTATTTCTTTCTTTATTTTCTCAATGCTGACTGACATGATTGTATAACTGTATTGTAGGGTAGAATAAAAGCAGGATGCTCTTCATTAAGACGACTTTTGCAAAATGTCATCACCAGCTCACTATACGTCCCCACCGATGGGCTCGGAGCCTAACTTAATAAGGGGTGACTAGGCCATAGTCAACCACGCTGGCCCACTGCGGGTTGGTTGATTTCACACATATCTTTGAATTTCTTCGCCTATATGTGCAGGTTGCATAACGATGTTTTTCTTCGCCGTAATAAAGTCGGGTAAATTTTGACATATGAATATTCGAAAAATCTAAAATCATATTGCTAGATGGCGGGATTCGAACCCAAGACAGGGCTACCGACGCTCGTCTGTTAAATGTAACAGGAAAAAAGATTATATTCTTTTAGATTATATATAGTAGGTATCGATTAGAACATTTAAATGTTTTTGGCGAGATTTCGGAATTTTGTCCATTTTAAAATATTTTTTTTATTCCTACAAGTAATAAAAACTACGCAAATTAATATCAATGTGTCAAAAATGCAATAAAGAACAATGCAATATACAGTCTTTTATTATCAGACTTAATTATTTGTAACTTGCACCTGTGACTATGCTGCTTTGTCTGTCTGACCTCTGGACTTCGTCCTACGTTGTGACGTCACATCCACGTGCGGTGGCGCTGGTATTAACTATTAACGTCTTTTAATGACACATAAATATTTCATCGTAATATTGCCAAAATTCTTAAACAACGAGCGTTTTATGTAATTATTTCTACGCTACGTTGTTTGATTTATATGTTGTTGCGTAGTTAAAATGCGACGAACGAAAATGACTGGACAACATGCAATCAAGCTTCTAAGTTTGAATCTCAGTCTCAGTAGTTTTGTAACAATAACTATCTTTTTGTCGCTTCTTACTGTATCTCTCCAGAACCGGAAGATCAGATCTATCAGATCTATCGGATCTATCTATCTATCAGATCAGAATGTAACTTGACTTATACCAATTTAGTTGAAAATTTAAAAACAAGCTAGTACTGTTTTAAAAATTTGCTTTACAATGTCTTGTGTTATTAATTGGCGTAAATCTCCCAAGGTCGTCTATAATCATACATTACGCTGCATCCCGTGTCCATGTCGTGCTGTAGGTTTAATACTTTTACGAAGAACTTATTAACCCATAGAATATGTACCAAATAAACCCGAAGACTGGGTTAAACTCAGAAGAGGTAATCATAATTCCTGTTTATGAAGCTTAGCGGTCGTTTTGTTTGGTATTATCATTAAACCATTAAATTAAGGTAAAACCAGGTAAAACTACATATAGATATTAGGAAATCAATAATAAAGGGCGAAGTCCTTTTATTCTTGTTTCCGGTATTAATCGCGAGTTCCACTGTCGCAACATGGGTATAACTATATTGCTATCTTTCTCATTCTCTCTGTTAAAAAAATGAGATAACAAGAATAGGTGATAGGTATGATGATCTTATTGCAGGTGTTATGAACGGTAATTAAAATTTACAATCAAATATCAAATACTGAATAGAACGGACACTGTACGTGTTAAGGACGCTAAATAGTTAAAAATAATTTCAATTTGTCATGATGATGTGATCAGTCAGTTTTTATTTTTCTCAGCTCAGGCATAATTCTCAGTCGAGTTATAGCCGGTGGTCGCGTAATCGCATATGAAACAATCGCAAGACAAAGTTTGTCGCTGTCATTTGTTTCTTTCAATAACTTATTTCATTGGATTCGATAATAATTGTGGAATTATGAAATACCCTAATTAGGTTAACGATTGAGTATACTTCTTTACGAATATAGGTATTTCATTTTTGTCTGCTTATGATAACACCCGCATAAGAAGATAACGCGATACATTAATTTCTTATCATAAAGTTGCAGTTGAAATTTTAGTATAGTGATTAAAAACAAGAAAAATGACTACAGAAGCTGAAGAAAAAGCTCTTCGTTACAGGAGGGCTCAAAGTGTAACTAGGGCTGAAGAAATAACGGAAAAAGAGAAGAAAGCTAGAAGACTACAAGTAGACAAACCGTACGTAGCAAATATAATTTTAAATCAAAAACACTTATTATCAATTTTATATAACAGTATTAAGATTAATTTGATGAAGTAATTCTGCATGTATTTGAGATAACTTTGATTTTTGTAAGGTTTGACAAAGTCCAACAAAAAATATTTCCTCATTCTGTTTAATCATCAAATGGTGTATTGTATGCAGTGTGTTGTAATATCATTGGAATGTCTTAGACTAACTGACTTATCATGAAAAAATACAATAATTCTGCAAATGAAAATAATCAAACAATCATCAATAAGCTTAATTTCTAAATTGAGATGTAAGAGTGGATTATTATTAAATACATTCTATTATTTCTTTTATACCAGATGCCATAAACCAAGAGATTCATTATTTTCATGGAGTTCTGAGTTCACAAACTTTACCGGTCTTGTAAACTGGGGGTTTTTGATGCTAACTATTGGTGGACTACGGCTGTGCCTTGAAAACTTTTTGAAGTATGTATTAAAATAACTTTATGAAACAATAATTATCAGATAATGTTAACCTTGAAATTGTTAACTACAGATATTATTAGTAAATGTTTATTGTAATGTTTTAGGTATGGAATATTAGTTAATCCCCTTGAATGGATCATCGTATTAACTGGTTATAATGAAGGACGCACTCAACAATATCCATCTATAATTTTACTTATATGTGAGTAACTAAGACAGTAAAATAATTTGTACTGTTAGAGTTAATTTATATTCTTTTGAACAAAATAATTTTATTTTATATGAATGGTGATACTAATATTTAAAATCTATCAAGTGTAACTAATTTAATTTATTTTTATTTTATTTTCAGTCAGTGTTGTTCCTGTAGTTCTTAGTTTGATAATTGAAAGAGCTATATCAGTTGTAAGTAATATATTATTATGATATATGCGTTTTTATTATATTTTATGTTAATTTCATTCAATTTATTTTTATAGGATATACTCAGTGATAAAATAGGCCTCAGCCTGCATATTTCGAATATTGTATTCCTGATCAGCTTGCCCGTGGTTGTGTTGCATTTAAGAAGCCAAGATTTTAGTTTTGGTAAGCATTATTTTACACAAAACACTTAAAAATTATAGTTTAAAATGTTATTCATTTATTAAATACATTGAGCCTAAAATAAAGTTTGAACTTTACATAGATTCTTATCTGAGCTCAATGACTTCTTATCATTATGAAGGAGAATAAATGCTTTTTGGTACTTGAAAAAAGATAAGTACTTTCTAATAAAAAGTTATTACAACTACTTCATATTATTCTATTAAATTCTAAAACCACTTTTTACTTTTTGAGATTGGCTATTTTTGGTATGTGATTGCTTACTAAAAATTTGTAATTATTGTTAAAATATGTTGCCTTAAATGTAATTAAAAAACTACCAACAAATGTATTTTCCTTATTAACAATTTCCACTTTTTTATTTACAGTTGGAATCACAACAGTGTGTATGATATATCTGATTTTGTTTTTAAAATTATGGAGCTATTCTCACACAAACTACTGGTGCCGCAGCAGTCTTAGA